GTAACATTCTTATTACATCCGCAGTTGTGAAAGGGTGCCAATACTTTTGTCCAGCCCATTTTTGAGGTTTGTGTGACATTATGTCGAATTTGCTTTCTTTCCTCCCTTTTTTTGTTTTGTCCCAATACACACAAAGGGAATAAACATGTGTATAGCAAAACATGTGTTAATGCAATACGTTTCGTGAGAAATACATGATTTCCTGGAGAAATATCAAGGGTGCCAACAATTTCGGCCATGACTGTATATATATATATATATATATATATATATATATATATATATATATATATATATATATATATATTTTTAGTGTTTTTCCAGCTAAAAAACCCCTCTAGAAACCCACTAGTTCTGGGTTTTTTTTCCTGACGAAAAATGCCCTATTACATGCCTATGTGTGCACGGACACATAGGATAACATGCTGGGGAGTTTACTGGCTGTTGAAAAAAACCTCAAAAGCCAATCAGCAGCTGTAAATACATCCGGTATGCATGAGGACTAGAACTAGTTTAGAAGCAGAGAATAGCAGCATCCTAGGGATTTCCTTGGAGTGTGTGTGTATTTTTATATATATATATATATATATATTCCAATCTCTGCCAATCCCTCCACTGGCTTCCCATTTCCCAACGGATAAGATTCATAACATTAACAATAACATATAAAGCCATTTATAACTCTGCCCCAAATTACATCACCGATCTTGTCTCCAAATATCACCCAAACCGTCCTCTCCGCACGACCTCCTGCTCTCTAGCTCCCTTGTCTCCTCCTCCCATGCTCGTCTCCAGGACTTCTCCAGAGCTTCCACCATCCTCTGGAACTCTCTACCCCAATTTATTAGACTATTGCTACTCTGCTCCCTTTTAGGCGATCTCTGAAAACCTATCTCTTCAGGGAAGCCTATTCTGCCCTCAGCTAATAATGAATCTTCTATTCCTACTACCAGTCCATCCCCCATAGTTATTACCTTTTGTACCACCAGCTCCTCCCTCTTAGATTGTAAGCTCCCAGGATCAGGCCCTCCTAACCCTCTTGTTTTGAACTGTATTGTTGCTGTATTGTCTCCCATTATATTGTAAAGTGCTGAGCAAACCGTTGGCGCTATAAAAATCCTGTATAATAATATTCATCCCTAATATATAACATTATGACCGCCCACCATAACCCTTTAAAGTATAGACTCCACTAGACCCCTGAAGGTATGCTGTGCTATCTGGCCCCAAGCTGTCAGTAGCAGATCCTATTAAAGCAGAACTAAAGGGAGGATCCTTACTTTCCTTCATTGGCCATTGTGGGATGACATCACTCCTGTGCAGGAGCCACTTAACATGGCACACAGTGATTGGCCTGGCACTGTAAGCTGAGATGCACATGCACAGCTCAATTTACATGCTGGCGATCGCTGTGAGCAGGCAGGTAGGTGCTTATTATTGCAGAAGAGACCTTTCATGTGTATTCTGTGATAATAGCCTGCCAGCTCACAGTCTTCTATAACCAAGACTGCCATTCCATTTTAACCTCTTCACGCCGACGCCTCCCGGCCCTTTAAGAGTTTCAGGAGGCGGGCAGGGTTTTAGGGTCATGTGACTGCCGTGAGTCGCCTTCACGGCGGTCACATGATAGGAAAAGGTCCTGATCAAAAGGGGAGATCGGGACCTTTCCGTGAGTCATTGAAAACATATGCTGGGAGCGCGCAGGCATGCACTCTCAGCACATATGTATTTTCTAATTGAAGCAAATATGCGGCCACACGGCGTCAAGGCCCAGACACCGTGAGGTCACATATTTGCATGCGCTCGGCGTCAAGGGGTTAAAGTATATGTAAACCCTCACCTTGTAAAATTACCAATTCAGTTTAAAATAGAAATGAAAGGTAAAACATTTGTGTCTAGATAAAATGGGGGAAAAACTTTTATTAATATTTTTTTTTATAAGCGATGACATTTAAGCTCCTTATGCAGCAGAGAAAAGCTCCTTATGCAGCTGAGAATGGAGAGCTAGGGGAGGAGAAACAGCAGAACACGGATCTTCCCAGTGAATGGGCTGTGTGTGTGTGTGGGTGTGTGTGTGGGGGTGTGTGTGTGGGGGGGGGGTAAACCGAAGTCTGAGCATTGGAGGAGAGTATACTGAGCTCTCAGCTACAAAATACTGAACACTGTGCTCTCATGCCTAGTGTGGTCAGTTTTTAATAGGAAAGCAGAGGGACTGGCAGGAACACCAGGGATTTTACACAAAGGAGGCAATACAAAGAGAACAGGATACTTTTTCATACAAGCACATGGTACAGTGCGCACATATCAGGAATATGAAATGTTGGGTTCACATATTCTTTAAAGTGGTTGTAAAGGCTGAAGGTTTTTCTACCTTCATGTATTCTATGCACTCCTTCAGTGTGCAGCAGTGACCCCAGATCCCTCAATATTTACTTGAGCCCCATCGAGATCCAGCGATGTGAACGACTGCCTCGGCTGTCCCGAGCCTCTGCCTCCTCATTGGCTGAGACAGCAAGTGGGAGCCATTGGCTCCCACTGCTGTCCATCACACAGTCAGGAGATGAGGAGAGAGAATCTTTAGAATCGCTTTAAGTCTTGTAAGTTGAGATGTAGGGCCTCCATGTATTGGACTTCTTTTTTTCTAGCACATCCCATAGATGCTCGATTGGATTGAAATCTGGAGAATTTGGAGGCCAAGTCAACACCTCAAACTTGTTATTGTGTTTCTCAAACCATTCTTGAATTCAACAGACAAGATCACCTTTTTCACTTGCTCCGGGGACCAGTTATGATGCTCACATGCCCATTGTAGGACACTTTGGCTGTGGACACGGGTCAGCACGGATACTCTGACTGGTCTATGGCTAAGCAGCCCCATACACAGCAAACTGCGATGACCATTTTCTCTGCTTTCAACATGTCAACTTTAGGGACAACATGTTTACTTGCTGCCTAATATATCCAACTGATTTTTAGATGTGATTTTAACAAGCCAATCAGGACTCCTCTGCCTTGCACGTTGCTTTCAGTCTGCAATGTGTAGAGGATCATCTGTTGTGTTGCAATAACGCACAGGTGTTATGCATGTGTTAATGTGCATTGTTTTATGACAACCCATTTATCATGAAATGGGCTCCCAAAGCACCATTACAGATGAACAATATGTGCATGACCCTTTTTTCAGAACGCAGCACAATGCAAGGTATATGCATTGTGCGCTTTGGGTTTCGTGCTCTATTGTACAATGCACTGGAGTGCCATTCTCAATGAATGGCACCAGGGGCGAACTGACAACTCATGGGGCCCTTGGGCAATAGGGGATCATGGGGCCCCTGTGTCCTTTACCCACACTCAAACCACACCCAAAAAAGCCTATGAAAGGTACCAGAGACATCTCATGGGGCCCCCTACGAACCCGGGCCCTCAGGCAGTGCCCGAGTGCCCAAATGGTCAGTCCTCCCCTGAATGGCACTACACATAGAGAAAACGTGTTGCCATGCGTTGTGCAAATGTATGTGCATTTTATTGCCTGTTACCACCATGCACATGGGCCCTGTAATTAGCCAGTGGAGGGGGGATTAGTTTATACAATGACTGCTAATTACTTAATACCGTTAAAAATACCAACTATGATCAAGACGTCAGACACACAGGGAATGCGTTGTATCCAGGAGTTGCCAAAACACAGACTGCAGGATGAGCACTGTGATGAGATCATGTTTGTCCCTAGGTACATCGCACTTTGTACATAGAAACACAGTTTTTATAAAAGATTACCATCCATTTATAAGATCTACTTCATGTGTTACATTAAATGTACAGTAGATATAAAAAGTCTACACACCCCTGTTAAAATGTCCACATTATTTTAGTTTTTTTTTTTACTTCCTTCCCTCCCCTGAAAGATTTCAGTTTGTTTTTCAATCGAGTTGTACAGTATATACGTCACATTAAAGGTGGAAAAAGTTTTGAAATTATTTATCTTTGTATCATTTTTTACATCACAGAAACCTGACATTTTAACAGGGGTGTGTAGACTTTTTATATCCACTATATATCTAAAGTATTGAAAAGACATTTACAAATATAGACTCTTAGTCTTTAATAACTTGAAATACCTAGAGTGCTCCTAGTATTCAAATAATAGCCTAGTTTTGATGTGATTTGTAGTGATAATGCTCAGTGCATGCCTATACAGTAGATCGTCTTATACCTGGGCTCTGGGTGATGCTTTAGTCTGCGTTCACACTATCTGGGTGCTGAATTGTGGTTAGTGGGAGTAAAAATGCCTTGGTATTTGTAAACCATGCCAATGTCCAGTTGGGCTAAAAAAAAAGTCCCTGCACCTGTGGAAATAAAACATGCCCCTGTATCAGTGGGAGTATTAATGCCCTTATTATGTAAATGGAGTCAAATTAACTTGTCAGCGGGAGAGACAGTGTCTGTGGCAATGGGAGTAATAAATGCCTTTGTGTCAGTGGTAAGGGTGGTGCCCATGTATTAGTGATCACAGATAGAATGGTGCTTCTACATCAGTGGTTACTGGGAGGAATGGTGGCCATGTGTCAGTGGTTACTGGGTGGAATGGTGGCCATGGGCACAGATTTTACTGCTTCTGATGAGGCCAGTGGTTCCTCTACAGGGAAGATGGCTGCCACCTGCAAAGACTTTGTTTCACCCGACCTCCCTGTGTTCGAGACCTGATTGATGCTGGTGAGCAAGGGGATCAGCACAGTGCAGCATGTGGAGTGGAGGCAGCCATGGATGTGTCCTGTGTCAGTAATGTTTCACTTGCTACTATGCCTGAACAGCCTTCACTATTCTCGGCTGAAAGCCCTGTCCTGGAGGATATGAAGATGACAGCTGGAGCTAAAACTCCTATCACTGCAGCACTGAGTATGGACACTGTTGTGAAGACTGCAGAGACTATGAGTGTGCCAGAAAATAATGTGAATGGTGATACTGATAGGGCAATGGATGTGTTGGTGGTGGTTAGGGGATTAACCTCCCTGGTGGTATTCCTGAGTGTAGCTCGGGGTAAAGTTTCAGCACCACAAGCGGTAACCCCGAGCTACACTTGGGAATACCCTGTAGCGCTGTTCCAGGTTCTTTTCTGCACTTACCTTGTCCTGCGCTCCAGCAATGTCCCTCCTGCAGTGTCCCCGGCAATGTCCTCCGGCCGATGCCGACATCTGTCTTCCGGGTTCCGTTCCCTGGGACGTACGGGGACGGAACGGCGGGAAATTTAAAAATGTGAAAAATAAAGTGACATTCACTAAAATCACATAGTAAAACATTACTGTATCAAGCCATTTCACATACATTTTGTCCCGAGTGCTTTGTCCTGTGCCCTGCCTGCATTTTTACTGTTCTTTCTGCCTGGAAACTGAGAAATGTCCATAGCGTCCAAAAAGCGTCCCTTTAGGTAAAAAGCGGTTTTAGACCAGCTAGAGAACAGCGATAGTAAATTAGAACCACTTGCAGAAATGAGTGATAATGATTCGTGGGGGAAATTCATCATCAGACACTGAAGACGATTTTGCGACATTGCTCAGTGATGTGCAAACGTGGCGCTATATTTCAAATTTCAGTGTTTTTGGTTTGATTATATTATTGAATAAAATTAATATATATTTTTTTTATGATTTATTAAATTATAATTTATGATTTTGTGTTTCAAATTTTAACATACCCGGGATGTTTACTAGATTCTTGTTCGGACAGATTTCAGTGAGTTATTCCTAAAAAATTACAGGCCTACAATAAAAAAAAAAAACAAAACATATTTCCATGCAAAAAAAATGCACAGAAACATGGACATAATCAGACCAATAGGGAGGTTAATGCCGCTGACAAAACTAAAAAAAATGACATTTCTCCCCCTGCTCAGCAGAGAGAGGATTCATCAGTTGTGCAGACCAATCTTGAATCTGCAGTCGTTATCTGCTGGAGTTGTCGGATCCAAACTTACAAATGTTTCTTCTGCAGGGAGGAATGTAAGGAGCTATGTATGCCTCTGTTTTGGGGAGTTGTAACAAGGAGGGTGGAGGGAATTTTGTAAATTCCAATATTCACAATTCGAGGTTTGGTGGAGGGCTGGCTAGTGGGTACAGGTGGAGGAATGTTGTACAACTGAGGTGGGAAGGGGAGGGAACCCCACCTGTAAGAGGGAGGGTGGCTGAGCTGATTTTGGAGATGGGTTTTAATGCTTCTGGTGTGTTTGCTTTAATTTGCCCACTTGGCAGTTATGACTATGATTTATAGTTTGTGAAACCTGAAGGTCTTGATATTTTTTGGGGAGAGCTATAGAAAGTGCAGGAACCTTCGGCAATGGCGAGGTTTGGTTTTAACAGTGGTTTCAAGGCAGCTTTTGATAAAACCAGTGAAAGTCCCGGTGTGTAACCAATTAATACTAGAGGCTGATTTGTTAGTATGGCTACGCCGATATGGCTAGGTCCTCACCCCACTGCAGAAGGTTCTCGATGAGCATGGGATATGGACAGGGGCCTGGACAGTGTAGCTTCAATTGAGGGTGCTGGGCAATGTGGTTCAGCACCTGCCCTCCTCAGCATTTCTGGGGAGGGATAAGCTGACCATTTTCTATAAGGGTCAGCCTAAGGTTTGCAATAAGTGTGGAAAGCAGCTGGGTCATTCGTATAGCTAATGCCCAGAAGCATTACATAATTTACCAGGATTGGAGGCTGAGCTGCACAGACTGGATAAAGAGGATGAGGCAACTGAATCTAGGGAGGAAACTGTTGTTTCTCTTCTTCCTATGACTGTTGAGTCTTACGTGTCAGATTCTGCTACCCCTATTAATGTGGTCCTCCCCATGTCTGTCCCTCCGATGGTGGTTCCTAATTCTACTGTGCGTAGATCCTCCAGACTAGCGGAAGCTGCTGGCTGGACAGATTTAGCGGATCTTTTGTCTCAGCCTACTCAACCTCCAGTCCCTCATTCTCAAGAACTCAAACTTGGCCAGGAGAGTATGTGGTTGGGGCTGAGGGAGGGGTGTCCATTTCCCATGTCTCATCTGTTGAAAGGGATTCAGCTGATAAGGGGTGGGAGAAGATTAGGAGGAAGAAGAGGATGAGAAGAGCGGTTCTTTCTTCTTCAGAATCAGACCCAGGAGGGGTTCCTCTTGGCAACATATTTTCAGTTTTATCAGATTATGAAATGGTGTCTAATGTGTCTATATTGTCAATGGATGAGGGTATTATAGTCTGAAAAGAGCTGTTTCAGGTGATGAGCGTGTGGCAGAGGTTAAGAAACAACTACCCCAATCATCTTGATGACAGTTCCCACACTATTAAAGGTGGCGACCATTAATGTCGCCAGCATTAAATCTGTAAGAGCTTGTGAGATCGTCTTATTTTTGCTCAGTGAGTTTGATGCTGGGATCCTATTTTTGCAAGAGACCTGGCTCAATACTTTGGCTGACATCCATCTAGCACAGCGGTTCTCAAACTGTGGGTCGCGACCTCTTTGGGGGTCGAACAACCCTTTGACAGGGGTCTCCTAAGACCATCGGAAAACACATATTTCCGATGGTCATAGGAACCGAGACACCGCTCCTCTATCAGTCTCCAGGCGGGTCCACCCACATGCAGATACGTCCACATTTCCCTGGACCGCGATGTGTGTGCGGGATGACATGCCACCCCTGTCATCTGGCCACATCCCCGGGATCACTCAACAGCTCCGCCTCCTTGCCATTGATTGGCCGCCGGAACTGTAGCTCAGGAGAGGCACACAGGCAGCCAATCACCGGCGAGGAGGTGGCGCTTGGAGAGGAGGAGCCGAGCAGCAGCGCGAAGATCAAAGAAGATCGAGTGAGGGAGCGGCCGGAGAAGGAAGACAGCTGACAGGTAAGTGTCTGTAGCGTCCCCCCACCACTGACACCAACGATGGGGCACTATTTCCTCCCCCCCACCACTGACACCAACGATGGGGCACTATTCCTCCCCCCCACTGACGCCAACGATGGGGCACTATTCCTCCCCCCCACTGACACCAACGATGGGGCACTATTCCTCCCCCCCACTGATGCCAACGATGGGGCACTATTCCTCCCCCCCACTGACGCCAACGATGGGGCACTATTCCTCCCCCCCACTGACGCCAACGATGGGGCACTATTCCTCCCCCCCACTGACGCCAAGGATGGGGCACTATTCCTCCCCCCACTGACGCCAACGATGGGGCACACTATTCGCCAACGATGGGGCACCCCCCCACTGACGCCAACGATGGGGCACTATTCCTCCCCCCCCACTGACGCCAACGATGGGGCACTATTCCTCCCCCCCCACTGACGCCAACGATGGGGCACTATTCCTCCCCCCCCCACTGACGCCAACGATGGGGCACTATTCCTCCCCCCCACTGACGCCAACGATGGGGCACTATTCCTCCCCCCCCACTGACGCCAACGATGGGGCACTATTCCTCCCCCCCACTGACGCCAACGATGGGGCACTATTCCTCCCCCCCACTGACGCCAACGATGGGGCACTATTCCTCCCCCCCACTGACGCCAACGATGGGGCACTATTCCTCCCCCCCACTGACGCCAACGATGGGGCACTATTCCCCCCCCCACTGACGCCAACGATGGGGCACTATTGACGCCCCCCCCCCCCACTGACGCCAACGATGGGGCACTATTCCTCCCCCCCACTGACGCCAACGATGGGGCACTATTCCTCCCCCCACTGACGCCAACGATGGGGCACTATTCCTCCCCCCCACTGACGCCAACGATGGGGCACTATTCCTCCCCCCCACTGACCCACTGACGATGGGGCACTATTCCTCCCCCCCACTGACGCCAACGATGGGGCACTATTCCTCCCCCCACTGACGCCAACGATGGGGCACTATTCCTCCCCCCCCCCCCACTGACGCCAACGATGGGGCACTATTCCTCCCACCCCCACACTGACGCCAACGATGGGGCACTATTCCCCCCCCCACTGACGCCAACGATGGGGCACTATTCCTCCCCCCCCACTGACGCCAACGATGGGGCACTATTCCTCCCCCCCACTGACGCCAACGATGGGGCACTATTCCTCCCCCCCACTGACGCCAACGATGGGGCACTATTCCTCCCCCCCCACTGACGCCAACGATGGGGCACTATCCTCCCCCACTGACGCCCAACGATGGGGCACTCCTCCCCCCCCCCCACTGACGCCAACGATGGGGCACTATTCCTCCCCCCCACTGACGCCAACGATGGGGCACTATTCCTCCCCCCCCCACTGACGCCAACGATGGGGCACTATTCCTCCCCCCCCCACTGACGCCAACGATGGGGCACTATTCCTCCCCCCCACTGACGCCAACGATGGGGCACTATTCCTCCCCCCCACTGACGCCAACGATGGGGCACTATTCCTCCCCCCCCACTGACGCCAACGATGGGGCACTATTCCTCCCCCCCACTGACGCCAACGATGGGGCACTATTCCTCCCCCCCCCCACTGACGCCAACGATGGGGCACTATTCCTCCCCCCCCCACTGACGCCAACGATGGGGCACTAATCCCCCCCCCACTGACGCCAACGATGGGGCACTATTCCTCCCCCCCCACTGACGCCAACGATGGGGCACTATTCCCCCCCCCCACTGACGCCAACGATGGGGCACTATTCCTCCCCCCCCCACTGACGCCAACGATGGGGCACTATCCTCCCCACTGACGCCAACGATGGGGCACTATTCCTCCCACTGACGCCAACGATGGGGCACTATATTCCCCCCCCCACTGACGCCAACGATGGGGCACTATTCCCCCCCCACTGACCCACTGACGCCAACGATGGGGCACGATGGGGCTATTCCTCCCCCCCCCACTGACGCCAACGATGGGGCACTATCCTCCCACTGACGCCAACGATGGGGCACTAATTCCCCCACTGACGCCAACGATGGGGCACTATTCCTCCTCCCACTGACGCCAACGATGGGGCACTATTCCTCCCCCCCCCCCACTGACGCCAACGATGGGGCACTATCCTCCCACTGACGCCAACGATGGGGCCTATTCCTCCCACTGACGCCAACGATGGGGCACTATTCCTCCCCCCCCCCCCACTGACGCCAACGATGGGGCACTAATCCTCCCCCCCCCCCCACTGACGCCAACGATGGGGCACTATCCTCCCACTGACGCCCCACCCCACTGACGCCAACGATGGGGCACTATTCCTCCCCCCCCCCACTGACGCCAACGATGGGGCACTATTCCTCCCCCCACTGACGCCAACGATGGGGCACTATCCTCCCCCCCCCCCACTGACGCCAACGATGGGGCACTATTCCTCCCCCCCCACACTGACGCCAACGATGGGGCACTATTCCTCCCCCCCTGACCCACTGACGCCAACGATGGGGCACTATTCCTCCCCCCCCACTGACGCCAACGATGGGGCACTATTCCTCCCCCCCCACTGACGCCAACGATGGGGCACTAATCCCCCCC